ATGTAGGTAACAAGGTAGGATGAGACCAGAGGTTCGGCGAGATGTTCCATGCATCACCAGGTCCATAACTGGACAATACTGGATCAACTCGAGTTGCCTTCTTTACCTGAGTAGCGGTGATGGGTGTATTCTCTACCGTTCAAAGTAAAAGATTTCTTTCTGGGCACGATCTCGACGGTTGACTGGCAAAGGCAGCCTTGAGAGACCATCCGCATTGCCGTGCAGAGTGGATTTCCGATATTTGATTTCATATGTGTGCGCGGAAAGCAACAGTGCCCACCATTGCATACGACTAGTGGCTAATGGAGGAATGCCGGTGTGGGGTCCAAAAATTGAAATCAGGGGTCGATGGTCTGTGAGAAGAGTAAATTGCCGTCCGAACAGATACTGATGAAACTTCCGAATTCCGAAAACAATTCCCAATGCCTCACGTTCGATTTGGGCATAGTTAGTTTCTGCTTTGCTTAGAGTGCGTGAAGCAAAAGCAATAGGTCCTTCTTCTCCCGAAGGCATAATGTGTGACACGACTGCTCCCACTCCGTAAGGTGACGCATCGCAGGCCAACTGTAGGGGTAAGGATGGATCAAAGTCCGTCAGAACTTCAGACTTTAGCAATGCATCCTTAGCTTTGTTAAATGCAACCTCACAGGCTTCAGTCCACTTCCAGGCCTTGTTCTGCCCAAGGAGTTCGTGAAGTGGTTTTAGCAGTGTGGCTAACTGTGAGATGAACTTGCCATAATAGTTCAATAGTCCTAGAAACAAGCGAAGCTGGCTAACATTTCGAGGAGGGGGAGCCTCCACAATAGCCTTAACTTTGGCAGGGGCCTTACGAAAACCTGTAGCATCAATGATGTGTCCCAAATATTCAACAGAGGGATGGAAGAATTCACACTTGTCTTTGCAGACTCGCAGTCCGTACTCTTCCAGTCTTTGTAGGGTAGCCTCTAAATTCTTTAGGTGATCCTCCTCATTCCTTCCCATGACCAGGATGTCATCCAGATATCACTGGACTCCTGGCAAGCCATACAAGATCTGGTCCATAACCCTCTGGAACAGGGCGGGAGCAGATGTTATTCCGAAGGGTAGGCAACAGTATCGATAAAGTCCCTTATGCGTCACAATAGTCAACAGCTCTTGGGACTTTTCATCAACGTGCATCTGTAAATACACTTGACTCAGATCAATCTTACTGAACGTTTGTCCCCCAGCCAGGCCTGCGAAGAAGTCATCAATGCGGGGAAGCAGGTATTGCTCTGCACACAACACTGGGTTGACAGTGACTTTAAAATCACCGCGAATCCGGAGGGAGCCATCTTTCTTTCCTATTGGAACAATAGGAGTTGCCCATGGGCTATGGGTAACTGGTATTAGGACTTCATTTGTGACCAGGAGCTTCAGGTCCGCTTCAACCTTCAGCCTGCTGGCATATGGCACAGTTCTGGCTTTCAGATATTTTGGTTGACTGTCAGGTTTAATGTTCAATGTCACAGTGATTTCCCTTCATACTTCCCAGATCCTCTCCAAAAACAGCAGCATGTCTCCTTAGTACAGTGGTCAGACCGGTTTCTTCTTTAATCACTCGGTGCACTTGTGCCCAATTCAGCTGGATCTTCCTAAGCCAAGACCTACCCATTAAGGCTGGGTAATTACCTCTCACCACAAACAGTGGCAATTTAGCAGCCTGTCCATTGCGCTCCACCTTAACATCAGTAGTGCCCAACATGGGCACAGCTTCTCCCGTATATGTCTTCAGCACTGTTTTTGTTGCTTTAAGCGGAAGATGCTGTAGCTTTTCTTTATACACAGTCTCTGAGACCAGGCACACATAATGTGTCCCTTTTTGCCACAGTGTCGACACACCAGGTCCTTAGACCAGCATTCTGATGTAGGGTGACCCGGCTTACCACAGCGGTAACATTCCTGACTCTCCACAGTTTTGTGGGTAGGTTCTTGTGACACCTTATGCACCCTAGGGGATGCACCGATGGATTGTGCCTCCTTTGTAGCCAGTTCCATGGAGACAGCAATATCAATGGCCTTCTGTAAGGTAAGCTGAGCCTCTGTCAATAGGTGCGTCCGTATAGCTTCACTGTGCAGGCCATACGCTAACCTGTCACGTAGGGCATCATTTAACACCTCCTGAAATTCACAGTGTTCTGCAAGCTTTCTCAAAGTTGCTATAAATTGTACAACTGTTTCATCATCTTTCGGGTCTCTTTTGTGGAACCTATATCTTTCAGCAATTACCAGTGGTTTTGTAGAAAAACGGGACCCCAGAATTTCCACAATGTCACTGTAAGATTTAGTCTCTGGCTTAACAGGGTGCAGTAAGCTGCCCTACAACAGTTAAGAATATTGGCACCTTCTTCTCTTCTGTAATGTCATTTGCAATAACAAAAAGCTCAAAACGCTCAGTATATACATACCATTGCACTATAGTCTCCTCAAAAGGCTCCAGAGTCCCTGTAAGTGTAGCCATGATTTTAGTTTCAGTTTGCAGAGTCAGTACAAACAAGCCAATTCTCACCCCCTTCCAGCGGCAAACAAGGTTGGTTGGTTTGGTTTCTTTGTACCTTAACTTCTACTTCCTTCTGTTTCTGGGGCAGCACAGATATCCCATCCTCGTCGCCACGTTGTTATATCCTTGGGGGCAACAGTTTTAGGAAGAAATCACTGGAGACACAGAGAGCTGTAAACCTTGTAGCAGCTATTTATTTCCACACTCAGGACTAACCAACAGCCAGCCAAAGCTGGCTGGGCTATCCCCTAATCAGGGCCGGCTCCAGGCACCAGCTTACCAAGCAGGTGCTTGGGGCGGCCCCTCCGGAGAGGGGCGGCACGTGCGGCAATTCGGAGCGAAGGACCTTCCCCCGAATTGCCGCCGCAGATCGCGATCGCGGCTTTTTGTTGTTTGTTTGTTTGTTTTTGTTTGGCTGCTTGGGGCGGCCAAAACCCTGGAGCCGGCCCTGCCCCTAATAATCTAACTCAGTTGCCATAGCAACACAAGGTTCTGTTACCATGACAACCAAATACACAACATAGACTGTGGGAAGATTTTCAAAGTTAGGCACATACAGTCTTGCCCATACATTTTTAAGTCAGTGGGGTGCCACACAGAACAGCTTAAAGGGTTAGAATGTAAATTATACATACAGCGTATATCCTTCAGTAAGTTTGCAGTGTTAAACAGAAGTTGCTGTAATAGACTCTTCTGATATAAACAGTATGAACTTGCATATTTTATGTTGTACTATATATATATATGAACATTGTTTGGAAAATATATATGCTTCCCTGAATGAAAAGGGAGGGTAATAATGTTCATGGAATATTGGGTTGCATTTATCTTTAGTTGATGTATTTTCTTTTACTAAAAAATAGACATATCCAGTTAATTTAAAAAAGGGAACGTACATTTATATTTAGACTTGGTTTCAAATTATGAGAAATCCTAACTTCTGACATTAATGCTATAAGGAGCTATTATGCAGCTTTGAAAGTTGAAAGGACTGTTCTTAAAGTAGTAAAAGTTTGTGAAATATCATTTTATTGGAAAAGTGTGTTTGTTCTATATTCATAAAACCTTTTTATCTTTACTGTTGTATTAGGGAAAGATTAAAGATTATGTCCAGGTTATTACTTCAGTAAACAAATACAAAATATTTTACTTTGCAGCGTTTGCTGTCATTATTCCTGCTGCTGAAGTCAAGCATGAGTCATCATTAGGCTCTTTTGAAAGTAACCCCAAAATAGTCCATATCTATAGAACAATAAGGTTTAAATTTGCAATTCTCTTTATGAGAACAGTATGATTTAAATTGGGTTTAGCAGAGCAGTTACTATACCATATGATTGTGCCTTAAATCAGGTTAGGTTTTATTATATCTTTAAACATACAAAGCTGTGTATATGACTTTTTTCATTCACTCAAACCATATTAAAATTATGGGATTTATTCATAGCTCATAAAATTCATGTTGTACATTAAAGACCTAATCCTTGTTTTTTTATTCATGTGAGTAGTCCCATTGAGTTAGGCAAGTGTGTTTCTGTATTCATATGGAACAATTGATCCATGTGGTGAATCTATTGGCAGATCTCTCTGTTGCCGTCACATCACTGTGTGCACAGTCACAGCAGAGGTTCTTATTTCAAATCCTTCTCTACTTCACAATTAAATCTAAATTTGTGTGGATCTGGCTGTGGGACAGGCTTCAAGAACTGCACTCAGTGCACGTGATCAGTTCAAATAGCGAAGTCCATCTGTGTGTCTAGAGTTCAAGATGTTTTGATTCAAGATACCTTGGTTCTTTGTTGCGAGACACTGAAAGGGTTTCTTATGTCCCTCCTGTCTTGCTGGACAATACAGAATATCATCATGGGGCAAATCTATACTAAAAGTATAGATTTCTGTGCATGTATTTTTTAAAATAAACACTATGCGGCCCTATCAAACAGTAGTTTGGCTTTTTAGTTCTGATTATCAATACCTTGAGAAGGCTGTCACACTGAACAGCACAAGGAGAAGACTATAAGGGAACATGGAAAATAAGCTTATTTAGTATACAAAATTGGCATCAAGATTGATTTAAGCTCCAATCTCAATTCCTTAGATATACATCTTTAATAAATATTGTTGTTAGAGATTCCTGATACTTCCCTCCTCTGCTTTTTAACAGAATAAATATAACTTGCAAAACAGTCTCAACAAGGTAGGGAGAAATCATTATTAATTGATAATATTGTAGGAATATTATTCTATGCCGTTTCTACTATATTTAATAAATTGTACCAACTATACCCTTCATGCTTACCTAATCCTTACAGAAACTCAACTTTACAGAATAAAATAACATCCTAATGGCAATCTGAGTAATGTAGAGTCATTGTAAGATGATTCATGAAATGTATAAATAACCTTCTGTATACAGAAGCAGTATATACTCTACTAGTTAAATATAAATAACCAGAAAATTAAGGCAATTGTAACAGACGTAGATCCTATTTTCCACAACTAGGTTGTATACAAATTAGAAAAGAATGCTACACATTCCATGAGCATGTTCCATACCTTGCCTGGCTTTCCTGTGTGGATTCAATCCCATGTGGAGTGTCACAACACTAAATGGTGTGTGGCGAGTACGCCTATGTATCTTGCTTGTGCAGTTTGTCAGGTAGAGATGGGGAAATTCCATAAATTTCAACTGTGGAAGAAAAGAACTGTTACATGGAACTCATATTTGACAGTGTAGCCAGCACTCACAATTGGCATGGCAACACAGTGATTATGAATATTTACTACCAGCCTGCTGCTCATCCTCTAGAACTGGGACTGCATACCAAATCATGGCCCACGTGATCCAACCCTGCTGCTTGTCACCTTCACCCTCTGAAGGGAGGAACAACAACCCTGATGTGACTCATCTCTTGAGTGAAATGGAAACAAAATTTATTTTAATAACATGCATTCGAACTTATATGTCACAGATATTCTCTTGGTCTAAGTAGAAGGCAGTTATTCAACAGCTGTCCCACACGTGAGTGCGTGTACGTACACACACACACACACACATAATTTTGCTACATTTGTAACAGTAAAATTCTTTATCTGGCTCTCCAGTAGCTAGGGTGACCAGACAGCAAGTGTGAAAAATCGGGACGGGGGTGGGGGGGTAATAGGAGCCTATATAAGAAAAAGACCCAAAAATCGGGACTGTCAGTATAAAATCGGGACATCTGGTCACCCTACCAGTTGCCCAAAATGTCACTGGTGCCAAACCAGTAAATTTTCAGGACGAAATGTTTCTTTTCCCTGTCATAAAATGAATCCTTGATCATAGTAGTACACACTTTGTGCTGCCTCCCAGAGATTTATGGCACTGGCCTGGTCTTGCTAGAAAGGCATCGTGATTTAAAAATAAAATTATTAAATTAGTTAAATTGATTATGAAATTACTTGACAATCGTGCTAATAAAGGCTTGGGAAATTTACTTGATTTAGTATTGTAATTCTTGTCCAAGTTTTGATCATCTTGCACAATTTGTCTTGTTGGCCTGACTACATCACATATACCCTTTAAGTCCTTCTCTTGGCTCCGACTCTTCCATCTCAAACAAAATTTTCTTGTCCTTGGTTTCAAAGCTCATCACAATTTAGTTCCATCCTACCTATCTAACCTATTACCTTTTTGTCAGGTCAGTTCCTACCTATGATGCCAGCGTTGATTGCCTGCTTCTCAAATAAGCACTTTCATGGTTCCTTCCATATTACTTGAATAGGGAAAGCTCCTAATCAAAGTCCATAAAGCCAACTCCTTAACTTTTCTTAAGTCCATCTTCAAAACTCACTTCTGTTATAATACAGAAAGAATCTGCAATCTGATATTGGCTAAGTAGGTTGTGAATTGTGCAGTCGATCTAAAGGTCCACCCCAGTTGATGAGCCATGTGGTATCAATATTATGCCACATGATGATGGAATTTTTGATTTTCCTGTTTGCTATTAAAAATGCTGCTTGACAACTTATTAGAGTTGGATTTAAGGATAATTACTTTGTATATTTTGACATGATGTTGACAATTTGTTTTTTAATGGTTATAAAGCTTTATTTTTTTAAATCTCAATGTCAAATGATTGTCTGAGCCACTCCCATAATTTCCCACAACTATGAAAATTTAAATAAATAAAAATGGAGGGAAAATGCTTAAAAATAAACACTATCTGTTAAATCTATTTAAAAAACTGCTTTGGGGATGAATGAGTGTAAAGGAGATTGTTGTTTGTAGGACCCTAGCCTCATTTGTTACAGAAGTTGGGAAGGTATGTATTGAATGAATCAGGGAGAGAGAGGATGGTTTTATGGTTAAAGCAATTGAATGCTGCCTTGGAGAACTAGATTCTATCCCTACTTCTGCCACAAAGTTCCCATATGATACTAAGCAAGTCACTTAAACCAAACTTTTCAGTGTGGGGTCACAAAGGATAATTTTCCTGGATGCTTGATTTGATATCTTGGGTCTGATTTGCAGAAGTGCTGAGTACTCACAGTTGCAACTGAAGTCAGAGGGAGCTGTGCTTTGAACATACAAAGTCCTATATAATGCTAAGTACCCTGATAAATGAGGTCCAAGGCATCTCAAATTGGGCATTCAAAATTAATGGACAATTTTGACCATAATCTCTCAGTGGCTCAGCTCCACATCTGTAAAATGGGGTTAACTCTGACAGGGGTGTTGGAAAGATAAATTATTGTTTGTGAAGCACTGAGATAATATAGTGATGATCACCAAAGAAAAACCCATGAGGAAATTAATAATTGTCTACAGAGCTGGGTTTGAATAGTGTGCAGTAAATAAGGCCTAAGGCAACATATTAAACAATGAGGATAAAGCAAAATATTGAATAGCTGATCATTAAATGAGCACCATCCATCCTGTGCCCTGACTCAGGAAGGGGTCACGTGGAAAAAATAGTATATGATCATGTAATTAAAGATTGTATCATAATGCATATGCACAAGGGAGGAATTAAAGATGTGCAGCAACCTTGATTCTGGCATTTCCTAATTTTGGAGTGCTTGACTTTACAATCTTTAATGTTAATTTAATGAGGTGGATGGGCAGGTAGGTGTTCACACACATGTTCTATATAAGAAAAGCACATTCTTTTTGATAACTGATAAACCTGCAAACTCAGTCTGGGATCTCAAAGTCAAACTGGGTTCTTTTCTGTATTGCATATCACCATTAATTAATGAAGATTAGGGAACATAGTTAACAATTTTGTTGAAGAGCTGCAAGGCAGAATGGAATCCAGCTTCCTCTATCTTAGGCTAACACAGGGATAGACAACCTACGGCACGCGTGCCAAAGGCGGCACGCAAGCTGATTTTCAGTGGCATTCACACTGCCCGGGTCCTGGCGGCTCTGCATTTTAATTTAATTTTAAATAAAGCTTCTTAAACATTTTAAAAAACCTTATTTATTTTACATACAACAATAGTTTAGTGATATATTATAGACTTATAGAAAGAGACCATCTAAAAACGTTAAAATGTACTACTGGCACGCAAAATCTTAAATTAGAGTGAATAAATGAAGACTTGGCACACCACTTCTGAAAGATTGCCGACCCCTGGGCTAACAGGAGCCAAAAGCAATACACTTTGGTCATTGAAGGAAGCAGGTATGACTGAATATTCATAGGGAACAGATCTGTTGTAAGGCGGCATCACTTTTACTAGCAGGTGTGTACAATTAAATTGAGTTGTTGGGATGCAGTAACCACCCATGCCTGCTGGACCCTCAACATCTGTAACAAAGGGAGGAAGGAAGGAGTGCGGATTGGAAGGAAGAGTTGGCTAGCTGAGGACTGAGGAGAGGGACAGTGTGGAAGACTTGGAAGGGGGAAGGAAGCGGAAACTGGCTGAAAAGTTGGGGACAGGGAGATGAGTAAAAACTTCCCTTTCCCACAGACCTCCAACATGCACATTGTCTGATGTTCACCCATTTTCTGAGAATTTTACATGGTTTCTCATTCAAATATTTATCCAGCCTTCTTAGCTTTTGTGACTTGAAGTAGCCAGTCTTTGATGGAATCACCTGTGTGAGCTTTTAGGGTTTTTTGTGAGTTTAGACCATTCTTGGGTACAAGAGAGATCCTACTATTTATTTAGAATCCCTTTATTTTGAAAATATGTGAATCCTTTTTCCTTAGTTTGTTTTTTTAATTAAGAAACAGTTTTCTAGTCAATATTGTACTACTTATAATACAAATGTAAACATCAGAAGTCTTAATAAATAGAAAATAGAGCCTGATTTTCCCCTTACTCATTATCCCTACTTTGGTCAGATACTTAAAACAATAGGTTTTTGTTAAGACTTATTCCCAGAAACAATCTTTCAGGTGGAATATCAAAACTTTTTGCTTCCCCTTCTAGAAAACAGCTTTTTGTGTAATGATATCCATAAGCAGTGATGGTCCATAAGGATACTATAAAGATCATATGTCTATGTCAAGCTGTTGTCTTATGGAAAGAAGCAGCCAGTGAGGAAGCAATTTCACTGACTTGACAGACTCTCACAAATACACACAGAATCGAGGAACTCATGCTTCTAACACAAGAAGAAAATGAATCCTAACTGGAAATAATAGGTCTTCCAGTTCATTTTCCGTGATGAACTGCTAGTGTCTCATGACATTTCTAGATTCAGGAGGGGAAAAGTAACAGTATGTTGTGTCTGCCAACTGTGTGGTAGAGACAGCCAGTAAACAAAGTTTTTAGATGTTATCACAGTTACAGTATACCTTTTTTCTAACCAACTACACAGTATTTTCTATATGATTTTTTAGACTGCTATGACATTCCTGGTAAACTCCATGTACTGTAGCTTTCTATCATTTTGGTTTGTGCTTAGTTACAGCCAAGACAAGCAGAGAGGAAGCAGAGGAGTTTCAGTGGAGTCAGGCAAATAAAGGTTAATTACTGGCTGGTGATTCCTTCTCACATGGCCATAAAAAAATATTTGGCCTTTGGGCTGTGCTTGAAACTTAACAGCCTGTCACAGTACTTGTAGTAAGATGTACCCTATTTATTTATAGAATTAGTCAGTCAAAATAGAACACTCTGAACTTCATTCAAGACAAGCAGTTGCTTAGGATGTGTGTAAACACATACTCTCTGAACAAGAAGCACTTTACTCAGGAGCACACAAAGCAGAGTCCTGGGCTGTTTTTCTTTTAAAACAAAAATAATTGAAAATCTTTGTCTGGATTAACTAGTTTGGTGTGGATTTATTTTTTTTTAAAGTCTGAAATGTCGGAAGGTGAGGACTTTGGACAAAGTAAAAGGTACTGTCATTTACTTTTATAGCTTTTTTATATAGAATTATATATTTTTGAAGTAGCATAAGAATAAGAGCCTGGAACTCCTGAATTCTGATCCCAACTCTAACTCAAATCTGCTCTGCGATTATAGCAAGTCATTTAATCTGTCTGTTTCCCATCTTTGAAATGGACCTAAGGATACTTAGCTCACAGCAATGTTGGGAATTAGTTAATTTTTTTAGAGAGATTTTGTGTTGCAGACTGCTATATAAGTGCTAGTGTATTTTTTAAGTAAAAAAAAAAGTGAATGACACAAAATAATTTAAGTTTTCTAATAAATCATTCCTCCCAGCCATAATCCTGAAACAACATAAGCCTC